GATGACCTTGAAAAGACATAGCATTCACTACCACATATGCAAGATAAATTATCACCAAAGCTAAGGCTTGATTTTCTGAGATACAGCAGCCAGACTGGAACATGAGGAACTGGGATGATTTCTCAGATAAGATGGTAGAGTCAATAAGACAAATGTGTAAATAAAAAGCTCCATTTGTTGGAGCAAAAGCTGTATTTTCATTGTGGGAAATTAAATTTTGCATTTCAGGGAAATACAGACCACGTTCCCCTCACAAATGTGGAAGATGGTTTCAGACACGAGGAGCATGAGGAGCATCTACTGCATTAAAAACTCATCATTAATTATTGTTCTAAATGAGCTGTGGGTGTTGGCTTGGCCTGAGAGATCCCCAGGGTGGCACAGTCTTGTAGCTGTGCTTATACAACACCTTCCATGACAAGGGCCAGGTAAAAATAGAAGCCCAAATAACCAAAGTCATTACACACTCACATACATATATGCAGTTTTTGCAGACATTACTTCCAAAAAGAAGTTATTCTTCCATAAACCAAGGCCTGGATCTCACTGCCCCAAAAATGAGAATTTTACTCTAATCACAGAAAAAGAACAACTTCATAAACACAGGAAGAAAGGGAGAAATGATGCTTCCTGTGGGAAGGAAGTCCATTTAAAGCAAGAATAAACTGATGCAGTTGGGAGAAAAAATAATAATAATAAAAAAGCTTGTATATGCAAATAGACATTGATTATCCATCTTTGTGCTCCTAAGAAATATAATTTACTGACCTTTGAGAGATGGGTCAAATAGGCCCATAGAATAAGAAACAAAGGCATCTTTTTGGCAACTGCCATGTTCCAGAGCAGTAATTATCCTTTCCTCTCCCCATGAGCAGCAGGAAATGAAGAGGGATGCCATTACACCATGACAATTACTGTAATTTTAATTTCTAAATATTGCTAGGAAAGTTTCCTCAAAAAAAAAAAAAAAATAGAGAGAGGAAAGTCTGTTCAGATTTTTGATGTGGTTTTAGATAAAACTCATTCCCCAGCTAAAACAGAGCTTAAAACAGAGCTGTGCTTCCCCTTCTCCCACTCCCTTGGGGGAACCACCCACAAAATCTCCATGGTGAGAAAATCCCACTTCCCTCCCCATTAGTGGAGAGGAGGGAATTGCAGAGAATCACAGAGTGGTTTGGGTTGGAAGGAACCCGAAAGATCATCTTGTCCAACCCCCTGCCATGGGCAGGGTCACCTTCCTCTCTCCCAGGCTGCTCCAAGCCTCATCACTTGAACTCATTCAACCACTGGCACAAAACCAGATTCTTTCTATCAGAAGCAGATGATGCTGGATGCACAACAATTATAAAAAATTAAAAAGAAGGATTCTTTTCATCTCCTGTGCCCAGAGACATTATTTGCTCTGTTGTGGGATTTTCCACAGCCTACCATTAACTATTTTAATATTATGGATAATCTATTCCATTCTATTAGAACATTATCATATTATATCCAGTTGTTGCACTGTGGGATGGATTTCAGCCTAGAGGACACGTCTGGTCAGCTGTCCAGCCTCTCCTGCACTGACCACACTGTCCCAGGCTCCAGGGAACACCTGAAATACTCCCACTCCTACACTGGACTCTGCCTGGGAGGAGGAGTTTGCACCTTGGTGCATCTGTTCAGGGGGAGAAGTGGGATTTGAAGCCCATCTGTCCCAAAAACAATCAGGAGTAGAGGTGACCTTATTCCCAAATCCTCTCTCTGCTGTAGGCTGCACCAGCAATTCCCATCAACTGGAAACTACCTTCCAAAATTCCCCATAACGAGCCTTTGAGGTCTCATTTTGGCCAGTAGGTGAAGACTTAAAATTACTTTCACAGATTCAAGGCAAAGGGCTTTTTTCCTCTTTTTAAATTGTTGCCACAAGGCAGGCTCAACAATGATCATTTAGTGTAGCAAAAAGTTGTGTCTTTCAGTATATGCACCTATAGAACTCCATCGATTTGTCTATACACAAACACATTCCTACAAACACATATTTGATTAAGAATTTATATAACTTCAGGCTTCAAGGAGTTTTGGATCAATGCCTTTATTTGGCCTTTATAAACAAATAAACTCAATTAAAGAGTACTTACAACAAACCACAATGGGCAAGAAACTAATTTTCCCAAGGCTTCCCCATGGCATTTTTTACCTGTTACATGGGTCTAGGGAATCAATTACTCCCTAAAGGGAAATTATTAGGGCTTGTGTTACCCAACATCTCACCTTTCCCACTCACCAGAGAGGAGGAGAGAAGTATGGGGACAGGCATCCAGAAAAATGAGTATTCTTTACACCTCTTACAATTTGGTGTAATAAATTAAAGTATAAATAAAAGAGAACAAAGCCCTGCAGGCAAGCAGTGCTTGAATCAAGGCTGGATCTGCACCAAGTCACTGTGCAGCTTCACAGGGCCCATAAATCAGGTCTCCTGAACATATGTAGTATTTTGCATTACTCTATAGGGTGTTAACTTTAATGCCTTAATATATTCACATAGTGGTCAGGTTACAGTTCCTGTGGGAACCATAAATTTGTATGTCCTGGCCAATCTGCTGCTGGAAAAATAATAATAATAATGTTAAAACTAACCACACCCCCACACTGCCTTCAGTAGGTTTTATACCTTTAATTTTTCTCCTTTCTGTACTTGAGGGAGGAAGAAGAGGTGTGCAGCTGTGAACGTACAGGGAAGCTGAAGCAGATGTGAATTAATTTTCACCCTTTTCTTGCATGAGGGCTTGTTTGTCCCCAGCCCAAAAGTCACCGCATGAAAAAGATTTGGTCTTGGGTGTGGTCAAGCCTATTTCTGAGTCAGAACACAGGACATGCTATAACCTCCTTTTTCACAATCCAAACCACTTCACCTGCAAGCAACAGCTACAAGGAGAAACAACCTGAGCTGATCCAGTTTAACCCCATTGCTGCTGATTCTGCCTGTAGAACCCAATCTCCCAGTAGTTGGATTCCTTCTCCTTTTCCTGGTTTAAGGGGTTGTCTCTGTCCCATTCCTCCTCCAGCCTCCTTTTGCTCCAACCTCACCATTACTCACTTAAAGTATTAAAGATTTGAGTATTTTCATCTGACATCCTATTTTTTCCCCATATTAAAACTGTTTACTTCCAAAGAAAGTTGTATTCAATGTCATCAAGCAATTTCAACATACCAAAGGAGCTGGTTTCACCCAGGCTTGATCCCAGTGCCAACAATTCCCAGTAATTAGCACTCCTCATTTTATTTGCACTGGTTAATGGCCAGCAGTTATGGAGCAGCCATGGCCATGCCACCACCTGGTAGCCCAGGCAAGAACAGAGCTGTTCCCTTCCCTTCAACCCACTCCACCACAGCAGTCAAATAAAGCTGGTTAAAAGCCCAAGAAGTGATGCAATACAGGCAAGAAAACAAATCACATTTAATTTGCACAAAATGACCCAATAAATATTTGACATATGTGGGATTTGACCACAGTTAAAGGAAATTTTACTTATGCCCCTGTTCAACACAGATCTCCAGCTGGTGGAAAAAAACAGATTGTTAATTTTTATAAACACAGAGCTGAAAAGTAACATCTGTGCACAATCTCTCCAAAGGTAGCAGTGGGAACCCTCATTCTGGATAAAGGAATTCATGAGCCCTTTGTAACCTTCATTTTATTTCACTGACACCTAAACCAGCTAAGCCACAAGGGCTAAGGCAGAATTGTAATTGCTTGAATCTTAGTTAATATTAAAGCTTTGGTCCATTAATCTGCACTAATGATGGGGTCTTCAGTGCCACCATTCCACTCTTTTTTTATAGAGAACCATCAATTCAAAGTTACAAAGTACAACTATTTCTTATATACATTAAGGAAGTTGTAGAAAACCAGGCAGCACAAGGTAGGGAGAGAAAAATCATTAGGAAAGCAGAAAACCTGATGATTTCCCCTTAAGTGATAAAAAGTATCAAAAATATCAGAAATAATCACTGAAATTAGACACAGAGTGCTGGGTTTTGGTGTCACAGGATCAGCTGCAAAGCCCACAAGTTTCTTAGCATGTAGGATTTAAGATGCCAAACTAATCTCTGTTGGACCCTTACTTCACCAAAGGATCTCCTGGAATCAAAACTCTCTTGGAAATCTGTGGAGATTCCTTAAACACACACATACACACAGATATTAAATCTATAGTATTTTGCATTACTATTTATAAAAAACTACACATTTTTTCTGTATATATACATGTACACTTACACAAAGATATCTTTATAGTCTTAATAATTTGCATATGTTCACTGTCACACGTGCATCTAATTACATTTTTTATATATATTCACACACATGTATATATGAAACTGAATATGTGCATAATATATGGAGTAATTGGTATATATGAATATGTATATATATGTATATATGAATATTTATCTGAATAAATATATAGACTCTGATTCTATATAGTATTTATTCATTGAAAAAATTCCTAATATGGGCTAAAAGAGAAGTAAAAGGCTCAATTTGCATATGTATATAATAGTTAACCACAGTGCAATGTAGCCAAAGAAAGCAGAGAACATAATTCCTCTTAAAACTGGAGACAGGATTGATATAAACTCTCCTTAAATTCTTCTATGAAATTGTCCCTGGAATGTGATCTCACTGCGCCTACAAGCCCAGCTTCCAGGAAAAGGGGGTGTAGGACTGCTTTTTGATATATTTCAGAGCAGACAGAACTCCCATCAAGAATGGAAAAACGGCCCCATGAGGATAGAAAAGCAGAGAATAATTAAACAGGTCTTATATAAGTTTTTCTTCCCTGAGTCCTGTTATCTTCCACCTCCAAAGACGTCACACATTTCTACTGGAAAAAAAACACCTTCAGAGCAGGCAGTGGAGGAGCTCCAAGCTCTTCAGCATCGTTAGTGGGGTTAGAAAACAGCTTTTTTTTTAGCACTGCACTTACTTCCAAACACAGAGACACACGTGAACTTACCTGTTTGGTGCTTCTCTGCCCAGTAGGGAGCAAAGCTTTGGATTTCTCTGCTATTTTCTGTTAAAAGGAAAAGAAAAAAAAAAAATCAGAGGGAAAATGGCTGAGAAAACAGAGTCCAAATATTTAGGGAAGGAGTCACATGAAGCTATTTTCTTCTGCTTTCCAAAGAAAATGACAAAGAGAAAGCTCTTACTCTTTAGAAAAAACAAGGGAGTATAAAAGCATTGAAAAGTTCAGTCTTGCAGGCATTAAAAGTCTTCAAAGCTTCCAGAATGACAAGGTTATCAAAACTGAAACAGGCATTTAAGGAATGACAGCTAGGACGTGGATAAGTAGCAATTTATCACTCAGATTGTTTTCCTGAGGCAGCCGGGCATTCACAAACTGCTGTGGTTAATTTTGGCACTTCTGAACTGATGACAGTTTTTAAAATAAAAGAAATCCAACCTAGATATACAGTTCAGATGGACTGTACTCATGAACATTAGGGGGAAAAAAAGAAAAAAGACATTAAAAGATGGTTGTGTGTATATGGGGGTGGAGCTCTTTACCCAAATAATTCCAGCTTCTCATTCAAGACATAAAATAATTTCATTTAAAGACCCTGCACTCAGCTTCTTGAACAAGACCTGTAAATAATTTAAAATATGAGGCAGCACTAGAGATGATGCAATTCTATTACACGACAGGCAGGCTGTTGAACTGCAATTTTATGTACATCCATTTATTTATTTAATTTTTAAGGCACAGGCAGCAAGGATGGGAAATCAATCAGTCCAGAGTGTTTCTAATAGAGACACATTATTAAGTGCATGTTGCCAGCCAAATTTCATTACACCTCTCTAATTACAATATATCCCTCCCATTGTTGCAGGCATGCGTCAGACTCATTAAAGTGATATACTAAAGCCACCAGAGTTTGTCCAGGTTGTCTTTTGATTAATCCAGATCTATCTCCTCACTTGCACTGCCAGGGAGGGAAGCAGTTTGGGGATGCTAAATTTAAGTCATTACTACAGTGTTTAAAAGCAAAGCAAATCTGCTTATCAGCAGAGCCTCCCCAGGGTAAAGAGGGTGAGTAAGAAGCAAATGAAGGAACTGGAGTTCAGGCTTTGTTTGTTTTATTAAACAGCTTGATCTTGGTGACAGATCCCAACCACAAGACGTGCCTGGAAACTTTCTGGCACAGCCAAACAGCAGAGCAGAGACAGAAGTGGGGTAACATTTGAGTTAACATTTTCTGCAAGCAGGAGAGATGAACTGTGCAATCACCTCTCCTTCTCCCCCAGGAGTGGAGGCACACCAAAATAATGTCATGGCTGAGCCAGGGGAAATGCTTCCCCCTGAATTCGGTACTGGGGAGGCCAGACCTCAAATCCTGGGGTCAGTTTTGGGCCACTCACAAGAAGGACACTGAGGGGCTGGAGAGTGTCTGGGGAAGGGAACAGAGCTGGGGAAGGGTCTGGAGCACCAGGAGCAGCTGGGGGAGCTGGGAAAGGGGCTCAGCCTGGAGAAAAGGAGGCTCAGGGAGACATCACTCTCTACAACTCCCTGACAGGAGGGTGTAGCCAGGTGAGGATCAATGTCTTCTCCCAGGGAACAAGGGACAGGACAAGAGGAAACAGCCTCAAGCTGCCCCAGGGGAGGTTTAGATTGGATATTTGGGAACATTTCAGCAGAGAAAAGCTTGTCAAACACTGGAACAGGTCGCCCAGGGAAGTGGTGGAGACCCTGCAAGTGTTCAGTAAATGTGTGGGTATAACCCTTAAAGAGATGGTTCAGGTGGTGCTGAGTTGATGGTTGGATTTGATGACCTTAAAAGTTTTTTCCAACCTTAATTCTATGACACTATGATTGCTCAACCAACAAAGAAAGAAAAGAGGGAAGAAACTATTCACTAGCAGCCCTGTGGAGATACTTCAGGCTCCCAGAGGTTACACTCACACCTAACACATCCCCAGATTCACAGATGGGAGAGTGGAAGCAAGAGAGACACTCACTTTCTGCACAGCTCCGTATCTCTGGATGGCATCTGACAGCTGGTTCTTCAGCCTGTCCAGCTGAAGCCGTTCTTGCTGCATTGGGGAAAAAAAGAAGGGTGGTTAGCAGATCTGTCAGAGATAAATCCAGTAGTAAGGCTCTGTCTGCAACCACGGGAAATTGTCCTGGTGGGAGATACCAAATAAATAAGGTGAGCATAAATGGTGTCCTAAAAGAATCAATCACACTGGGGCCAAGTGGATTTTATTTTAGGAAATGTGATGATTTGGTCTTTCAGTCCAAGTTAAATTAAAAAATTCCACTTTGGATATTCAAGATAGCATTGGAGAAAATAACTGAAGGAGTCTTTCTATAAAAAGTTATTTTTTCAGATGACAAATAATGATAGAATTGATTGCATCATTTGGGAGATTTACTGGATTTGGTAAGTCAATCAGCCACAACATCTCCCCTCCTTTATGACTGTCAGAAACCAACTTATCTTCATGGTTTCCAAAACTTGAAGTGACCCAAATGTCACTGCTTTTATGGCTGGAACTTGCTCCAGAAGGATTTCAATCTATGTTTAAAAAAAACCCAACAAAACAACAAAAAATCTCTTCTTGGAAGGATGAACAGAGCCTGATGCAAATATCCAACATGCTTCCAAATCTCTGCTCTCAGAAGGAATGAACAAACCCAAACAAAACTGTTCTGTGCTCTGGATTTCAGATTTCACATGTGCAGGAGCTCAGATGTCCAGATTTTACAGAGGGAAATGCTGCAAGGAAGTGGGATGTCACCTTAAAAGACAAGTGAAAAACAAAACCAAATCTACACTAAAGCCACTGAGCAGAAACGTTCACTTTCCAGCCATTTCAGCTGCTTCAGAAAACTGCTTGGGATTGCAAAAGTAGATTTTATAAAAGATGGGATAAACATTTTTAATTTTAATGGCAGCATTTTCACACACCAAGAAATATCCCAGTTCCTCATCTAAAGATTTAAAACCATTTTTAGAGCAGGGCAAGTATCATCATTTCCATTCTACAGATTAAGGTCCATAAATGTTACGTTTGTTCCACATGCAAAGTAAGATAAGATTGTCACCCTGGAGAGCTGATCTTATGCTCCAGCACTCACCCTACCAAAAAAATGGAATTCCAGATCTACCTCCATTCACATCCTTTGAGGTTAGTTTGGAATGAAGCCCTAAAAGAGCCATTTTCCATCAGTCTCCTGCCTTGTAGCACACTGATCCACTTAGAGCAGCATCTTTGCTCCTGCAATACTATCAATTTGCTCAGCTGGGCATCCTGACTCCAACACCTCCAGCAGCACTTGGAGATTTATGGGAACTCAGAGAAAGTCCCATATTGCATCTCGCTGGCAGTGCATTTCTGGTGGAAAATAAGGAAGAAAGGGGATAAAAAAGGCTTTTTTTTTTTCCTGTGTGTGCATGCAAAGCAATCCACAAAAAAATGGATTGGTGAGGACTGACTATAAAGCTCTGTAAGGCTTTTCATGCTGTGAGTAATTTTATGGGAGGAGAGTTTGCAGTGCTACACAGATTCCCAAGAGGGACTTACTGACCAGCAGCCAATATCCACCAGAACAATTTATTCTATGTAAGGGACAGCGGCTACAAGCTTTCTATCAAAATTTGTAGGTTTAATTACTAAAACTCCACTATTAGAAGAGTTAAAGAAAAAAAAGAAAGTTCAATTAATTGAAAAGTGAGCAGAAAAAAGTTATTATACAATGTAATAGAGAGCAGCAAATTTATTCCTCATATTACTGAAATTGTTTCGGTGTCTATTTCCTTCAGCTCTTAAATATTTTCCCTTCAGCTTTGCATTTTTCTCCCCATGACAGTAAAACCTCTTCTCCTGAGAGTCCCCATGGGCTTCAAGGGCAAATAATGACATTCTTGTGTGGCACTGAAATTGGGTTTAATGTGACCTTGCCTGATTCCCCTTTGGGCCCAATTTATGTCACAAAATAGAACCCGGAGATCAGCACAAAAAAAATAAAAAATAAAAAAAAATTGCCCAGATTCCCATATCTCCAGGGCATCCTCTTCTGTTTCATCAAGCTCAGATGTAATTATGCAAGAAAATGAAAAAAAAAAAAATAAACAAAACAAACAGTCCTTGCCATCCATCACTAGTCAAAGTGATTTGTCAAAAATTATTCTTGTATTAATCTTGATGTCTACATGTGGAAACAGTCATTCCAGCCTTCCCTCCCCATCCTCTGGAGAAGACCATCATCCATTCATTTTTATTTTATTTTTTTTTTTAAGTCAGGCTGAATTGCACGTGGTCCTTCACAGGTTACCAAGGAACCCTGAGGTGATCCAAGTTTTAAATCCTTATCTCAACTGCCTGTTGGCAAGTGCCACAAATCCAGGCTGTAAAAACCACTTGGTCAGAGATGAGTTGTGTGTTTAGAGCAGTCTTATTTCTAGGTGGAAGGTCAGGGAAAACAGAGTTGAAGTAACACAGGACTTTGGAAAATGGCAGGTAGTGAGTGAGAATAAAACATGAACTCAGGAAAGTTCCTGACTTAGAAATCATGTCGATGGTGGAAGCAAGAATGTAGCAGAAATCAAGTAGAATTATAAATTCTAATTTAAAATCCTGCTCTGATCTGGCCACAGTCTGTATTTATCTACCCCCAAAGCTGCCTTTGCACTAGCACACAGCACTGAATCAGTGTCACATCCAGATATATTCCATGGCTTTGGCCTTTCCCAGACACTCAACAGACTCCCAAACTCACCTGCACCCCGTGCACCCACAGCTGAGTCTTTAACCAATGCCAAACTCATGAATCCAGATGAGTTCTGCAACATTTTCACCCAAACTGAGACCCTGAGATAGATGTGAACTGGCCAAAGGCTTCATTGTTGAGTTTTTGATTTCCAATTCCACAGGAGCCAGTTCTGGGAGGAGAGCTGGTGTCAGCAGCTGTTTTCCCCTGAGTCATTTATAAGTGAAAACCACACTTGTTTGAGAGGAAAGGAAGTTATAGCAAGACAAAGAGCTTAACAGCTTTAAAGTACCCACTGCCACTTCTTATTTTCATTATTCCTCCTTCCACAAGACCCATCATTCTCCCCCAACAGCATCTTGACTGACACATACCCTGGATGAGCCTCTGACAACCTCAGACAGCTGCTTGATGGCTTTGGTGCTAGTCGTGATGGTTTTATTAGTCTCCTGCTGGGTGGCATGCCTGCAGAAGAGAAGAGATGATGGGAATTGCAATTGAAATTAATTGCATAATGAGACACTTGGAGAAATCTATCAAGCTGCAGAGCAATTGAGACAACACAACAACAGCAGCACACTGAGGCACAGGAGGGCTGCAGGAGTCCTGGGTCTTCACCAGCAATGGAAGCCAGAAGGAAATACTGGAGAAGAGATGCCCAAAATATTCTTCCTGCTGTCAGCACAAAGACGATGCCTGTGAACCATTCAAAGGGAAGTGATGAGGTGAAAACAGGGGGTGGACAGGGAATGAGATGGTTGGTATTACAGATTTTCAAAGAAGGGCTGTACAGCAGGAGGCAGGACTGGGGAGTTGCTGATGGCTTGCCCAGGAAAATATTGTTCTCAGGAGAGAAATCTGAAATTGAGCAGGAGAAATTTACCTACCCCTTAATGACACAGTATCTCCAGGAAAGCACTGAGGATGTGAAGGGGCAAAGCTTCTTTACCAGCACTGGAACAGGCAGGAACCACTCACCCCTCCAGCCACAGGTGCCCCTCCCTTTTACACCCCAAATTCCAGTACCATTATTCCTTGTAAGCACTGGTTGCTGGCCTTGCTCTTTGAGACCATACAAACAAAGGGGAAGAGACATAAATGCTTCCCAAAGGTATTTATTAGCTGAGTCCAGTAGTTCTCAAGTTTTCTAAGGTCAACAGAGCACTCTCAGCTTATAAGCTTCTCCAGAGAGCACTTTATATCCTTTTAGTCAGAAAGAAATGGTTTTCCATGAGGTTTCGTTCAAAAACTCAATAAATACTTGGAAAAGATATTCATGGAGATTTTATTCATGGAGAAAATTATGGGGTTTTCTCCCTTAGAGGACACATATGAGCATGAGCCACAGTTGTATCAAAAACACTGATTTTTCAGTACTTTTTTTTTTTTTTTTTAGAGTGCTGAGATTTGAAGTGAATGGAGGTTCTTTGATTAAAAAATGTCAAAATGTCTATTTATCATCCCTCAGTCCTGAAGACCCATGGCTTGTCCTGACTCTTCACCTCCTTCTTTCTTCTCTGTCAGCTCTGATGGAGAGCACCTCTTCTGAGACCTGGGTCAACTCTTCCATCACCTCTTTTGAAGACCAAGGCCAGTCCCCAGACAGCTTTTACCGAGCACAACCTTAACGACAAATACATCGAGACCTCTCTTGTTGAGGTCTTAATCCAAAGTTTGGCATTTTTTTCCCCCACTTCAATGTTTTTATGCAGTTGGGAAAGCTGTCCAGGATCATGGAATCTAGGATGGCCTGGAACGGAAGGGACCTCCAAGATCATCCAATTCCATGGACTGGAAGCCATGGGCAGGGACACCTTCCAGTGGACTAAGTTGATCCAAACCCTATCCAACCTGGCTTTGCACACTTCCAGGGATGGGACAGCCACAGCTTCTCTGAGCAGCCTCTGCCAGGGCCTCAGCACCGTCCCAGTAAATAAAATTACACCTGAGTTCATACAAGGTACCTACAAGTGAAAGCTGAGTACACCATGAGGACGACATCTCTTAGTTACAGAACAGGAATTCAGATGCGTGTCAAGGGTTGAACACTCACACAGAAGGCATGGACTCCTTTGGCACCGCACAAGGAGGAGAAATAATCCCATATGGAAACAAAACCAGATCCAATAACGAGTTATTACCTCTGTTTATTTAAATTAATGTACAATTTCTGTGTTCATTCATCAAGATGCACTTCACTTACTGATGATCCCAGGACTCACCACAGCAGCTGAGCAATTACACCACTTTTCATTTGAGATGGAAGAGGTCATATCTATCACAGACAAGTGTTCCATACTGCCATTGCAAGAGAGGGAGCTGGGAATTGAATCCTGTCACATTGCTAACACTGAGGAGTGCACAGTCAGCCTGATCCCCAATCTCTTCATCAAGTATATCTTGCTACCAAATTCTATAAGCAGCAGATTCAAATCTCAGATTTCCATATCTAATTCCTCTTAACAGAAAGCAAGATGCTGGAGTTGACATCCATTTTGCAGACCTCATTAAATTATCTGCCCACAGGAAATCTCAGGGATTTACATACCAGTAATTCCCCATCCCCAAAGTAAAATGGCTTGTTAGGCTCTTGCATCTGATCCTTCCCAACCTTGAAAGTTAGATAAAGCCTTCTTCATTTGCACTGTACTGTAAATTTTATGTTACATATCTTATGTAATAAATTGGTGCTGGGCACGAACTTTTCTCTGCTGCAAAAACCTGGGGGCAGGAGTACAAAAAAATGAAAGTTCTGCCTTCCACCCCTTAATTCAAAATGCACTTTAACCAACATGCTGGTGCTTGATTTTGGCACTTCCCACTATGTTGCCAGCACAATTAACTTCTTATTCTTCAGTTTCAGAGATGAGCTCAGGAATCAGACAAAGATTATATTTAATTTACATTAAATGCTATTGAGATCTTAATTTTAAAAAAAGCCCTCTCAAAACACTGCTTCCTGCAATATTTTATTTTAATTTGCAATGGTAACAAGATACGTTGTTGTTGTTGGTTTTGTTGTTTTTATAATTAGTATTAACAGTATTATTAGTATTATTATCTGTCTTATATTCTGCTCCCCATGGAAGTGCAGAAGTTAATTAAAGGGGTGCCTCTGATGAATAAAATTTCCTTCTCAAAAGAGTTCTCCACACAACAGTAAGCTAATACTCCATCCGTGGAGCTGCCAAGTACCTAAAATACAAATGTAGTAAAAGTTTTACCTTTCCACAGCTCTGCTCTGAAAACAAACCCTGGAAGGGTAAACACCAGAGAAAGCATCTCTTAGGAGGAGTAACATCTCTTGCTGAGCATTTCTGCCTGCACAAACACTGCAAAGACAATGCACTAAATAATCCAGGAGATGCCAAACTGCTGCCTACGAGTTCCCCATGGCTGCTGTTTCCTTTGCTGGAGGAGCACGGTCCAGAGAATCCGTGATCCCCAGCTGCTCACAGTTTGTTCTCTGAATGATCATCTCTAATTTATTTATCCAGTTTTAACAGGAGCGCTGCAAAGAGGCAGATGAGGCGGTGGCTGCTCCCTTTATCCGCAGGGACACCAGGAAGGAGCTGAACTTCTGCCTCTGCTGCTTCTTTGAGACACTTGATGAATGACCAAGCCAGTGGAAAAATAATCAGACCTCAAGTGCAACAGCAAACACCAGCCAGGGATGGAGTTCTCTCTGCCTCACCGAGCCTGCCGATACTTACAATAATCCCAAAGAGCTTTGTTTCCCAGCCCCAGCAGGAAATGCCATTTCCACTTATAGAAAAAGATATAGCCTATTTTATTTTTGTCTGATACCTAATGGAAGAGCAATAATGAGCTTTTTGGGCACAGATCAAAGATACCTTTGCTGTAGTGGTTTGAACATCACCAGATTCAGAATCCCCTTTAGCACAGGGCACTGCACAGCCATGGAGTCGTTTTTTGCACTTAAGAGTGGCCAAGTAGTGTTGTCAAGAGTTAAGCCAGATAGTTCAGCATAAGTCAAAACTTGTCTTTTTCACAGCTGCTGTAATATTTACTGCAGACTTCTTACCCGAAAAGAGGTGAAATCAGAGTACTTTGAGCAGAGCACTGAGCTGCAGGATCTGTGGCTCAAGCAGAAGTTTGTTCAGCAGCTGCATTTACATTTATTCCATCGCTGCTGGAGACAGAAATGCATAGAGAGCATTAAATATGCAGAGGGAGATTGACACCACGGGACATCTCCTTCCTGTCTTACAGATGGGTTCTATGAAGGATTGGTGGGTGTGGGAACAGACAGACCCCAGCAAACCTCAAATACACGTAGATAAAACTTCAGCATTGCCCATAGGGACAGCAATGAATCCTAAGGATGCTTTTCCCCTTTCTTCATCTAATAAATGTGTTTAAAAACACATCCAAGATTCTTTGTGGCCTGTGGAGGGGGACACCTGTAGCATGAAGTTCTGCCCTGGAGTGTGGTCAAAAACCTCAAAAAAATCCCCTTTTTTCAAGCTATTAGTGGTGGGCTGAGAGGGGCATCATGTGCTGGGTTTTGTTCCAAACCAACACCCTGACGGTGAGGCAGAGATTTGGCAGATGAGCTCTAAGCTGGCCTGCAGGCACAGGACCAGCAGCCAGCCCCTGTGAACTAAAAAAGTCCAGCCCATTATTCTATAGGGCAGGTTCTTCTAAGATATTCCTCCTTGGGAGTGTGTGTGTGAAGATTCATCCTTTGGGTAAGGGATGTGCCCCAAGGATGTCCCTCGTGGCTGAGTGAAAGAGATTTACCCACAGTCATTGCCCTGGGTGAGTTACATCAATCTCCAACAATTGATTGTTTTGGTAGCTTTAACATAATTTATTTAATATTGCTTTGATATAGTGCACTATCCTATCTGATACTATAGTAATAGTTTTAGCTTTTATGCTGCATAGTAAATAATTCTGATTGAGTTTGTTTGTCTAATCATTCATCATAATAAATAATCCATTTTTATACCGATATCTGATTTGTATCAATAAATTCTGAGGGACAAAGTTGTAAACTTAGGCTGTTTACAAAGTCTGGGCACAAGCCTGGATCCAGCTGCTCCTCTCTGAGGAGTTTAGAAAGAAAAGGGATCCTCTCTGCACCTCATGACTCAATGGGAGCCTCTCTAATAAACTTTGTCTGAAGCTCCCATTCCAACCTTCAACAGCACCTCTGAAATGATGCAGAGAATCCATACCTGAGTGGTGACCCAGCCTTGTGGTTTATCCTACACAGCCAGGATGATCCTACAGCAGAACCAGAGAATCCAAGGATATCCTGAGCTGGAAGGGACCCACGAGGATCATCCAAGCCCAACTCCTGGCCCTGCACAGGACAATCTCAACAATCCCACCCTGACCCTGAGAGCATTGTTCAAATGCTCCCTGAGAAGGCTTGGGGCCGTGACCATTCCTTGGGGAGCCTGTTCCAGTGCTCCACGACCTTTTGGGGGAAGAAC